AAAAAAAAAATACACTAAAAGATGCGATCCTCAAAACTTCAACGCAGTACCACGAGCAACCACAGTTATCAGCAGACGATGGAGATGAACGAAATTCAACTGAACGATGATAAGACATGTGTACGCAAATTGTCCATACTAACCGTTCTGCATCCATTTCATTTTGCGCACTCCAATGCCCCCCTCCAGCTGCAGATGCGATATTGGAGCTTCAGTGTCTTCATTCAAATTCCACAAAAACACCTAGGAAGACACAAAACTGTTAAAGTGGAATGAAAGCTGCACAGTGTTCCCGGTATTTACCAATCATAAAGCTAACATTTCCACTGGCGTCCGCCGATGTAAAAACAGCAGGATGAACAGGAGACCAGGCAACATCTGTTATGTAGTCGCCATGCTTTTCAAATGAGCAAAGTGGTTTTGTTTCCTATAAACAAATAAAGTAAATTTTCGTTATAGAACATGCTTTCCAGAAAGCTCCATACTGGTTGCTCAGTTAGAGATAATACCTTTCCTTGCGAAATAAAAGTCGTCAGCGCAATAAATGCCGGTGCGACGATACGTTTTTTGCACAAGTCCTCGCGGGTTTTTGTCGCTAACAACAATGTTTTTTCCGGCAGATGCTTCAGGCTAAAAGAATAGATTGGGCACCAAGATAATCAGAAAACTCTCCCTTAAAACCTCAGCTTTCTAGCTTTTCTGGTTCTCGAGTTAGCAGCCTACCTGTCAAAAGTTTCCACAGGTCTGTACGTGAGTACCACGCGCACCTAGAGGTTAAACTTGAGGTCATTCGATAGTACGCAGGGTACACCCCTTTAAAATTTCGGCTTTCTAGCTTTTCTGGCCCCCGAGTTAGCAGCTTACCTGTTAAAAATTTTCACGGGCTCTTATATGGGAACCACGTGGGCAATAGCATTCATTTTGGAGAAGGGAGCTCGAACATGCATGTAGATTAAGTTCCCGAAGTTTTAGCTCTGTAGCTTTTGACAGTCTCGAGATGAAAGATCAATACAGGTGAACAGACAGATAGACAGACATACGACCCCGAGACAATATGCGTTTTTGCATTGCGTGGATGCAAAAAAAAACCCATAAAAACCACAGCGATGACTTCAGCGCGAAGACCTACTCGCAAATTTGGACAATATAAAATATATTACCTTCGTACTCCACAGTTTAACAGTCCAATCCAAAGAAGATGATAAAAAGAAATGCGATAAATCAATAATCCCGGGAGCTTTATGCATGTCAACTCCTGTTATGGGCCCGATGTGGCCTGGAAACAGAGCGGGTAAGCAGAAACTAATGACAAATTTCGAATTTCGAAAGAACTTTGTCCGCTGTTGCAAAACGGATAAATTTTTTAAAGCCGACTTACTCTCGTAGCCATCATTGATTCCTCCTTTGTTGCCGTGTCTACTTGCCGTATAAACATTTCCTTCTTCGCTACCCACTACGAAATTATTTGCATCTTCAAACATAAAAGACATGCAGGTGCACGTCACCTGAAAAATCCTATATATACATATGGGAACTGAAGAATGAGACCGATATTTTATGTCTACTGTTGGCAGACGTCTACCTTCTGCACCAATTCCAAGTGCCTTCGGCTCTCAAGAACAGTGTAGCATATCAAGTTTTTTGAAACAGGTTGAAATCAAAAAATTAGACCTGCTTCTGTTTCCATGACAAATCGATGGCATCGATTGGCTGATTGAGATTGTCAACGCTCCACGAACAAAGTCGGCCGTCTGTCGATATGCTGACTAAATTGTGTGCATTCTGTGTACCCACAACCGCCATGCTCAGTACTGGATGAGTGTGTGCTTGAGAAGAAAGAGGGCTCTGAAAAGGAAAAATTCTCCGACATGTAACTGTGAAAGCATAGAAACGTTTCAGATGTTTGAATGCACAGACCTTACTAACGGGTGTTCTTTTACCGAATCTGTTATCCCACATGCATATCTGCCCCGAATAACACCCGCCCAGTAGCAGATTTGGATGGAACTTAGCGAATGCCACACTTGTAACCAGCGACTGGCAGTGGAATGTATACCTAAAACAAAATACAAATCTATTTAACGTGACTGCTGCTTTAGCAAATGGCAACATAACCCATAAAACGATCGCCAACATTCGAATAAGAACTTACTCGGCACTTGATTTCTTGAAACGACAACTCCAGACCTGCACTACACCGACCGGGACAACAGACGAACCACGATTTTGTTCATAGGAGACAGCAAATAACTCCGGGTGTTGCTCACAGTAGTCAATCCCAGATATTGCCCTAAATATCGGCATACATGAAATCAGAAATATAAAAACTTAAACAGCAGTTACAAATGTTTATTAAAAAAAAAAAAAAAAAAAACACCGCGAAAATATGATTTTTCATGCTTTTTTGTCAAAAAAAAAAATCTCCGTATGCATTTCTACTGTTTAACTTGACCAAATATTGTCCCACTGTAACGCACCTTCGCTCAATCTGTGCAGCTGAACATAGTTCCTTATTGCAGAACATGAAGCAACACCATCTACTGATAATCCAAGCGTTCTCTTGGCTCCCTACCCCTTTGTATTTCAGCAAATAAAAAGTGCAATGACTCTCCAATCTTGATTTTCGCGGTCTTTCCGCCCACCTCCGACGACCCCTCATCCCCCCCCCCCCCCCCCCCCCCCCCCCCCCCCC